CATCTTGGACAAGAGCTAGTACTAATATTTTGTAAGTTTGAATGCTCAGGTTGATCAGCGATCCAACCCGACAACACCGGAAAGCATAGACGTTCGTACCCGTCGGCGCATGCGATTAGCTCGCCTTCCTGAGAGCACTCCCGAATGCTCTGAAAGATCTCCCCAAGGGCGCGATGCAGCGCCATTTGACTCTGACGTCGTAAAGCGGAATTAGCGAGTGAGTTCTTCCCGAGCTTAGGTGGGACTGGCAGTAGCCCTAGGAGAATTAACGAATGCCCGGTGGGCTTGCTCCGGACCGATGACTTGATGTTCCCGATGGTAAGATAGATTGGCCAGGCTTTCTTGTCCCCACTAAAATTTGTCAAATGTGTGCCATCTGACGCGCATATAATTGGTACCACAGTCGACCCCTCCGGTAAGGTATTCTGTCCAGAAAGCATTAGCGACTGCCTCTAGAGCACTTGTGAGGCTTACCAGACCTGCGTCTCCCACCACCAATCTCCCGTATGCATTTCCCCGTACATTCTCTCGCCAGATTCATTATGCTCTACCACTGGCGCGTACACCAATGACTCCCGAAAGGCCCGTTGGCCTAGAAGATATCGCACAATTACCATTGGATCCCGGTAATAGTAAGGGATTTTCTCTCCCCCAATATCCACCTCCGAATGATGCCAGCTCGCCTTTCCCAATATGTCATTCATTTCGTCCAACCTCTTTATAAAACCTCGCCCAGTCCTGTAGGAGCATTCGCCACTGCTTGACGGAGCGTGTAGAAAGAAACTGTCGATATTTCCTTGTGAGGCCTTCGACAGTATGAAATAACGTGCCATTCTAAACTCGTATGCTGAGTTGAATGGGTGCCACGGGTATCGGAGAAGGTTTTGTGAGCATTCGTCGTAGTCCTCCGAGCGGTAGAGACGCTCCCCAGCACCCTCGTAAATCGTTGTCGCTGCCTCATGCCTATTTGCATCTCCATCTGTCTCTTCCATCATAAAATATGATTCGGATTCCAGATCTGAATTATTATCGGGATCTTGGTCATGATAATTGATACTGTTGCTCTCCGAACTATCCGAGTCGTCATGGGCATCTGAATAGGAATCGTGAATGCCTTCCGGGCTGTCGTGAGTGTCATCGGGTGCCTCTTGATCGCGCTCCAGGAGTAAAAATTGGTTTCCCAGCCATTCATCTGCTTCAAATGGATGTGTAGTTCGAAGATGTTTATCGAAGTTCGCGGAGGAGCTGTACCGCTTGCTGCAAAAGGGGCAAGACGATTTCATTGAAGTCTCATGATGCTAGCAAAGCACTCCTGAGTGCTCTAAAAATTTGGTTTCTGCCAAGGCCGAGGAGGCTCTTTCCTGCAGGTGCTGCTGCAGAGTGCTCGAATGATTTGATTTGTCAGCCAATGAGGCTCCTCTCACCTGCACCCCGGTCGGCAAGGCTGATTTTCAATACGAGTCTGATGTCATACATCACCAACCTAATACAAACATCAACACCAACACGAAGAAACACCCACCACCCCAATCAGGCGGCCAGTTATGCTAGATTCTATCGCCCTGAGCATCTGCACTCTCTCCCTGAGCACTCGCGGAGTCTCTTCAGATCGAGACAGTGTTCTCAGCGCCAAATTCAACACTAATATCGACTACGAGCTCAAAGAATACATTCTCTCCGAATCAGCTTCCTAGAGGACAGAGTACCAACACCAACAAGAACACAAGCACCAACCCCAACACCAGAATGTTATCGACGTCACCATTGGTACCGTCAGAGCATCCCCGAGTGCGCCTGGAGCATTTAGATCAACGTCATATATTGAAGCAAACATTGAGTACGAGCACCCTCGAGTGCTTCTAGAGCATTCGTGGGTGCTCTCGGAAGCGTGATAAGCTCAAGAAAAAAGCTGATCGTACTCGGTATAAGAGCACCCCTCCCTTCCTTCAAGTTCGTGAGAAGTTCCTAACCACCTTCAAGTTCTCCTCTACCTATCACTTCAAGTTTTCCATTGCTTTCAACATTACCTGTTGAAATCTCATCCTTCAAGTTCCTCCGTTTTCAAGCGATTTAACCTTTGCAATCTTTATAAATAAGATGGTATTTCTCTCTCCTAATCCAATTAATTTTAGAACCATACTCACCACAGTGATACATTAACATTATCAGACTCCAAACACCGCTCAGAGCACTCCCGGTAGCTCACAGAACACAAATCAACTTCCCAATAAGAAGCGCTTGCGTGACATAGACGAAGACGATAACGAAAAGACCCACCGAAAAACCAAGAAACACAAATCGTCCCGAAAACATAAGAAACACCGAACTTCCTCAGGTCGCAAATCGTCCCGCAAAACTGTCAAGCCTATCCCGGAGGAGATACCAGAAACACCCCCTAAGCAGTCGCCAGTGCTCTCCGGGTTCACCCCGATCAACAAGAGCCGAAAACAAAACCCTGTACCTCCACCAATCCGGACTGAAACCCGGACTCCGCCAAATACTAACCTAGCTCCATCGGACACTGAAGGGATCTTCCCGAGTAACTGGGGAGCAACCCTAACTGATTCCGACTCCTTTCCCGACTTTAGTTCCGAACCCTCTGAACCATACATAAGTGACGATCAAGACCCAGCAACAGGTCCAGCAACAGGCCCACTAGCAGCAGTCTCCACTGCTTCCTCAGCACGCAGCAGTGCTTCACCAGAGGCCCTTGTACGGACGACCGTACTTAGGGTTAGTGCTACCCCACCAGCACCCGCTAGTGCTCCACAAAAGAACGTTGCCCGGAAGACCATAGTCCCAAGTCAAGTTCTCACTCGGTCCAAGTCTAGTGCAGTCCGCTCAACAGGCCCAGCAGCAACAGGCCCAGCAACAGGCCGCTCAACAGGCCCAGCAGGCTCTACTACTCCCTCACCAGCACCCGTCAGTGCTCCACCGAAGGTTCTTGCACCGGAGACCCCTACATTCAAGCCCCGACGCCCCTCTCGGTTATTTTCTAGTGCAAGCCCGTCCGAACTAATAGACCACCCCTCACCAGTACGACAGAGACTAATTAGACCCGAGCCATCGCCGATTGTCCAAGAGACATCCCCGAGTGTTCAAGAGACATCCCCGAGTATTCAAGAGACATCCCCGAGCTCGACCGCATTCAAGATGACTCAAGCAAGCAAAGCGAAGATGACTTTAGGTCTACTCAACCTACCTAGAGTGTACACCAGCATCCGCAACAGCCTAAAGGCGGAAATGCAAAATGTGGGTTGGGTCAATAAAAGCACGTCCGGTATGGCTGCGTTCAATGCCCTATGCCTTTACTTGATGAACTTGCCCTCCCTCAACGGTTTTCTGCCAATTTGGACTGGGGGTGACTCCGATGCCCGTAGAGCACTGGCGAGTGCTCTACAGTGGCTCATCGCAGATGTTGGTATGAAGGATAGGTTATCAAGGGGACAGGGAGACCGTCAGTTCAAAGAGGCTGCCGGTGATAGTGATGATGATGATGACGGCGGTGGTCAGGCAGCCGGAAGACGCTCTCGCAAAGGGAAAGAGCGTGCAGTACCTCCGGAACTCGTGCGACCTTCCATAATGGTTACCGTGGTGGACCCCGATGCTCTAGGGGCATTCTTTATGCTCGTCCCACCACCTACTTATGACTGGAATGATCCCCTGAACGAACCTTCGTTCATCGGAATTTTGACCAAGATAACTTTCCCCGAGCTATGCAACTTGATCCTGAAGCACACCGCACCCGGCAGAGCAGTCAGGACTATCTGGGGGGCAATTGAGAATGTCCCCCCGGCAGCTGTTCCTCCCGTTCGGCCGGTGGAGGTACAAATTACCGATTCAGAGGAGCTCGAAGGTTGGTTGAAGAACAGCAATGCCAGGCCTCGGAGGATATTGGCGGTCCTCCACAGAGCAGGCGCGGGTGCTAACCTGGGTGGTGCGGAATCCCCCCCGTTGAACCCGGCTTTCCCTCACGTTGAGGAAGATGATTATAGCATGATCGATATTCCTGCAGAGGATTCGGATTACGAGGAGGGAAAGCACCGGATAAATGCCAAAGGACTGAGGGTATATATGCCTAGAACTGATGCCAGTAATCAAAGGCTAATTCAGACTCTTGTTAGGCGTCGCGATAGACAGCAGGATGCTATCGACGATTTAGACCCCAAATACCTTAGGAAGTATCCTTTGGGTGTCGGGGTTGCTGACCCAAACTTCTTACAGGGGACGATCTGGACACCTGCCGGGATAGCAGCCAAGAGAGCTGCTGACGCACTCGCGGCTGCTGGTGCTGGAGGTGGTGGTGGTGGTGGGTGGTGGTGGGGTGGTGGTGGTGGTGGTGGTGGTGGTGGTGGTCTAGGACCTCCACCGCCTCCGGGCGGACCTCCTCCTCCTCCGGGCGGCGGTGGTGGTGGAGGACCAGCTGGAGGCGGTGGTGGTGGTGGTGGTGGGGTGGAGGTGGTGATGGTGGTGGTGGTGATGGTGGTGATGGTGGTGGGCATCATTAGTTCCCTTTGGTATAATCTCTAACTTCCCTTCCTGCGGAATTGTCACTAACCTTTTAATAGTTGTTAGGATTACTCCCTGAGCACTCGCGATAGCTATTGAGGTGCGGTACGATTTGGTGTTTTGGATTTCCCTTTGTCTTGCGAGAGTATATCAATGGATGGGTTATATCGGATAGGATTAGATTAGATTAGATTAGATTAGATTATTCCAGGTAGTAATTGCATTGCTTTTATTTCAAAGTCGAATCAAACTCCTAGATTGCTCTCAGAGCACTCGGTACCGCTTCAGAAAGTGCAGTAAAACGAGTGATGATAAATGATGCGGTTGAGTGCAGAAATTGTGGTAACATAGGATGATCCCTGCCGTAAGAGGATTAGCGGTGCAAATTTTTCTTGATTAGCGGCGCAAATTTTCTCGCCAAGAATTGATTTCTAATCGAAGATATCGCGAGTGCTCCTAGAGCACTGCGGATATTCCTGCCAGTCATCAGAATGGCTCCCACCAAGCGCTCCTCCGGTTCAGCACCTCTTGCCCCAAAGCGCCCACGACTCCCAAAACGACCTGAAGAACATGAAGATTTACTGACTGACGAGTCTGAAATATCTTACCGAACATTGACTCCACTGCCAGCCCGCACTCGGAGTAGTCAATCGACCACCGCCGCTCAAATAACTCGGAAAGGTCTTCTCCGTTCCTCCGAAACCCCCACTGGGAGGAGCAGTCCTAGGAGGGTAGAATTTCATCTCCCCGAGGATCATACTGATAATTTTGAAGCGCAGGAGGAGCCTGAGGCAATTGAGGCGCCAGAGGCAATTGAGGCGCCAGAGGTGGAAGAAATAGTTGATACTAGCCACTCAGACTATGATGATGCTCCGGAGAATGACCACGAGAGCTCTGAGGAGGATGAGGATGAACCTCAAGCCCCCCCCCCATCTTACACCCAGAAGTCTCAGACTGTCGGAAAGAGACCTCATACAGTTCAGCCGACTACTGCCAGAGCACTGGGCAATGCTCGGAGGAAACCAACTGGCGCGGTAGCGGAGGTCATTGCTTCTTCCAACGTGTGGTGGACGTGGTACAGGTTCGACTCTATCTCGCTCATTGATGCTTTTTAACATGTAAGTATTAGTGGCTAACGATTCAGAGGGGAACTCGACCGGGCGCGAAAGTAATACGTAAACAAGGTCAAGGGAGAGCAGCACCCACTTCAGCACCCAGCCAGAATGCATCCCAGAGAGCACTCCCGGCATCCCAGAGAGCACCCCCAACACCCTCACAGTCTAGGCCCTCTGCACCTGTTTATGCTCATGAGTATACCTCTTCTACGCGCCATATCGATTTTTCCTCGATGCGCTCTCGATACGGGGAGTCGTCCCCCACTTACCGGACATATCGTTCTTCACCGCCTAGCGAGGTAATTGGCGAGAACTCTGTGAGCAGTCGTCAGATTCCTTCAAGCCAACTTCACGGTCAAGGTAGATCGCGAAGAGTCTACGAAATCGAGTACCTTCCCTCATCTAGGGAGGAGGACGAGAGTACTCCGATGCCGGAAAGGAGGGTATTTTGATTCCGGGAAGCGAGGTTAGTATTCCGGAGGACACTCACGACGTCTTTGAGAACACTGGCGACATTCCTTCGAGCCAATTGACTCAGAGGTCTGTGGTCCCTAACTCTAGGAGTGCAAATGTGCTGTCAGTGCAGGCTCAGAGGATTGAGAAGGAGTGTAGCGTGTTAATCGGGGAGCATACTCTTCTACATGAGCCCTTTCCACCTGCAGCAAGACTTTCGGTACTGGTAGTGAGCATGTGGGCAACTGCTAGTCGCCGAGTGGGGTGTAGAGTAGACCTTGATGAGGTCGTTATTAAACAGGTGAGTGCCCCCAAAAGGATTACGAGTGCTCTGGAAGCATAATTGAGAATGATAGGTCAGAAGTCTGCACTCCCGTGTCCGTTCCCACTTGATGCACGAGGTGAAAGGGCGCCTGGCGGACTCTACGATATACGGGCTTGGAAATTTTGTGGGGCCTGAGGCGAGGGCGGCTCAAGTGGAATACCTTTTGAAGAATGATCGTTTCTTGAGCCCCCAACAGCATTACGAGGTATGATGCCAGTGGATGCCCAGAGAGCACTCGGGATAGCCGGTAACAGATTCTAGACCTACCGACTGCGCTTCCTGGCTCCGGAAATTATCGATATATTGTATTTTAAATACTTCGATGGGGTAAGAATGCGAGGGGTTAGGGATCCCGAATTTCTAGAGCGGATAACCCCTACCCTTATTTGCCTGATATCGACGGCGATCTGGCACGGCATTCGGGCGTGGTCAACAGGGAGTTACGTGAAGCCTGATAATTTTCAGTCGCAGAATGAGAGTGTTGTGAGTAAGTATGGCCCGATGCCCTCATTGATATGGCGAGTGCCTTGGGAGCAATGACGGATGCTCCTAGGGCTATGCGGGATTGCCAAGCTGACATCCAAACACGAGTAGAAACGTTCAACAGGATGAGCAACACTTGGAAGGGGAGAAGTAAACAGAACCAGGAGGCAACCTTGGAGGTAATCAAAGATAACCTTCGAGAAAAGGTATGATACTTCTAGATGCCGGTAATGCGAGTGGTATTCTAAATGCTAACCCTAATAGATACGAGATAAAAAAGGGGTAACGATTGAGATTATACCGGAGGAGGGTTTTAGCGAGGACGATGAAGCTCTGGCTGCGGATCTTGCCGCATTCCGAGATGCTCGGAGAACACCCACGAGTGCTCCAGGAGGTCGGGTTGATTCCGACAGCGCCCAGGACGAAGTGATTAATGCCCGACTTCGCGGCATTGACACCGAAGAGGAGGGGGAGGAGGAAGAAGAAGAGCCGGAATTACCTGTAGCGGGGGATTACGAAGGGGGGGGGGAGGAGGATGTGTAGAACAATCACGAGTGCTAAGGGAGATAGTGGGGGATTTCTTCTGATTCGTATATTGTATTAGGGTTAGTTAGGGTGTTAAATGGCGTATTGTATTTAGTATTAGGCGGAGGATCACGGTGTTGAATACACCAATTCTCAAAGTGCAGTCGCGAGTGCTCTGGAGACAGTAGAGATCGTCGTGCGAGTGATGTTTTTGTAATCTCATGGGGGAATTGTGAATACCAGAGGCCGGAACGGCGGAGAGGTGTATGCCTAGAGAGAACGGGGCGCCGACATGTAGGAATCGGTACGTCGGGCATGAGCCAGATTTCAAAGCACCCCATCCGGCAACGTCAGGGGGAGTCAGGGCAATCATTCTATCCCCAGAGCCCGCTGGAGCAGTGAAGAGTGCTCCAGGAGCAGTCAGGATATCCAACCGTGCAACTGGCGTTCTCTGGCGGGTAGAGTGACGTCCTAGTTACACCGGGCGCTATTATTTAGTGTCGGGGCCCGTTGTGCGGACTAGTGTGCGCTGGGGCGGAATATTGTGCGCCAGACCTCGCCAGGAGCACTGGCGGTATCTCTGGAGAGGTAGTTTACCTACCGAGCGCCCTGAGCGCCCTGAGCGCCCCGGGCGTCTGGCGAAGGCTACAGGTTTGCTGATGAATCTTTATCGTTCTCCTGCTCCTCGCTATTGTATAGGAGATAAAGTTTTCTTATCGACACGCAATGTTCTAACAAAGCGACCCTCCAAGAAATTCGATTGGAAACGGATTGGTCCTTATAGTATCAAACGAATCGTCAACCCCTATGCTTATGAGCTAGAACTTCCCCGTTCCATGAAGATCCATCCAGTATTCCATGTTTCATTATTGTCACCCGAAGCAGGCAATCCATTACCGGGACAACAACTATCACCACCACCCCCAGTTGAGATCGAAGGGGAGGAAGAATGGGAAGTCGAAGAGATTTTGGATTCTAGGAAACGCAAGGGAAAGTTTGAGTACCTGGTATGGTACGTAGGATATGACGATGCCTCGTGGCAGCCGTTATCGGACCTTAAACATTCGCCTGATATCGTTCGACAATTCCATGAACGTTATCCACGAAAACTTAAGCCTACCAGGAGGTAGGTGTAACGGGGGTCTATGGACGTAGGGGCTATGGTGACAAGGAATACAACTGAGGCGAGAACGTGGCAATAGGTATTCAAGACTATGGACTATGGAGTGGCTCTACCTAGTATGACAACTAGTTGAACCCTATGACGAGGCCTAGAACAAAAGTAGTATTCGTGGAGCAGATACAGAGGTTCTGTGAAGAGAAAAGGAAAGGAAGGGAAACATCAAAAGGCACGAGACAACGCCCCCTTATATATTCAACTCCTAGTCCGTGGATGACTAATACCTCGCGTAACGGAAACCAAAAGAACATAACAGAAACCCCATTACAAATCCTAGTTCAACTGCGCAATACCTTCCCTTCACAGTCCAATCGATCATCCTAACCAACAGGTAATATTGCCGTTACAGATTACGCCCCCCTCCAAGGCCTACCTCCTGGTAGGCTTAGGTTTTCGTGGATAACGTTCATGGAATTGTCGAACGATGTCAGGCGAATGCTTAAGGTCCGATAACGGCTGCCACGAGGCATCGTCATATCCTACGTACCATACCAGGTACTCAAACTTTCCCTTGCGTTTCCTAGAATCCAAAATCTCTTCGACTTCCCATTCTTCCTCCCCTTCGATCTCAACTGGGGGTGGTGGTGATAGTTGTTGTCCCGGTAATGGATTGCCTGCTTCGGGTGACAATAATGAAACATGGAATACTGGATGGATCTTCATGGAACGGGGAAGTTCTAGCTCATAAGCATAGGGGTTGACGATTCGTTTGATACTATAAGGACCAATCCGTTTCCAATCGAATTTCTTGGAGGGTCGCTTTGTTAGAACATTGCGTGTCGATAAGAAAACTTTATCTCCTATACAATAGCGAGGAGCAGGAGAACGATTGAGATTAGCTGATTCCTCTTGTATCCGTTGTGACCGAAACATTTCGCTCTTCATAAATTCCACCATGTCCTTCATTTCTTTTGCGATGCTATTGGCCTGATCTTCTGCTGTCGTTTTGCCATGCTCCAAGGGGCCGAAAGTCATCCGTGGATTTCTTCCCGAATTGGCATAGAAAGGAGAAACATTGGTTGTTTCTGACACATGATTGTTTGCTGCAAACTCCGCCATTGCCAATAATCGGGTCCAATCATCTTGTTGATAAGAAACATAACTTCGAAGATACTGTTCCATTACGGCATTGATCCTTTCAGTTTGTCCATCGGTTTGAGGATGAAATGCGGTGGAGAATCGTGGAGATATTTCCAGGCGTTTGCAAAGTGATTTCCAAAATTCCGCAACAAATTGGGTTCCTCTATCGGACACGACAGTATCAGGTAGTCCATGTAGCTTCCACACATTATCGATGTACAGCCTCGCTACTTCCTTTGAGTCCACCTCTTTAGTTGTTGGTATTAGGTGTCGCATTTTGGTTAGTCTATCAACAACAACTAGAATCGCATTGTAACCCTCACTCTCCGGAAGGTCGGTAACAAAATCCATCGAGACATCCGTCCATGGTCCATCGGGTATTGGCATGGGGCGAAGTACTCCATAGGGTGCATTGCGGGGTGCCTTGCTACGGGTGCACACATTACAATTTCTGACATATCGATCGACATACTTTCGCATTTGTGGCCAATAATACTCCCGATTTAAGAGTTCCAATGTCTTTGCTCTACCCGGGTGGCCTGCTGATGGTTTATCGTGATGTTCTTTTAGTAGTCTCAGTCGGAGGTCACTGTCATTTGGTACGTAGAGTGCACCTCGATAAAGTAGCCGACCGTTGTTGTCTTCCATACATTCGGCAAGTGAAATTTTGTTTGAATGTCGAACGTCGCTCCGGAGCATAACAAGAATCTCGTTTGGGAAACTATCAACTTGGTAAGCTTTTAAAAATAACTCCTCCACAGTAGACATTCCTTCAGCGGATTCATTTGATAAAGAACCCGCGAACAAACTTAGCTTTGTATCCAAATTTTTTCGCTTCAGAACCACTTGGCTCTGATGCGTCAACCTTTCATCCCCCTCTTTAGGTAGGTCACCTGACCTTCTAGTTAATGCATCGGGTTTTGCTCCTTGTTTTCCCGATCGAAATTGTATAATGAAATCAAAACGTGAAAGAAATTCAGACCAACGGGCTTGTCGACGATTTAATAATTTTGTCGTCGTGAAATATTCCAGGTTTCGATGATCGCTGAAAACCTCAATGGGGAATTGTGCTCCTTCTAGATGATGTCGCCATTCTTCAAAACATCGCACGATTGCTAGAAGTTCCTTGTCATAAATTTCATAGTTGCATTCCGCAGGGGAATGTTTCTTGGAAAAGAAAGCGACCGGATGTAAAACTCCTTCATCATCACGTTGCGATAGAATTCCTGCTGAAACATAGTCGGATGCATCGGTTTCTATCATAATCTTCCGATTCGGATCGAAATGAACTAATATAGGCGCTGTTGTAAACATCTTTTTCAAGGCTTGAAATGCTTCCTCCCTTTCATCTGTCCATTCGAATTTAACATTTTTCTTCGTTAGGGCTGTAAGCGGGGCGACAATCTTTGAAAAGCCTAAAATAAACCGTCGATAAAAATTTGCAAATCCCAGAAATACTTGAACATCATGAAGATTTGTCGGTGTAGACCATTCTAGAACATCAATAACTTTCTTTGGATCCATTCTGTTGCCATTTGGGGTGAGGATTAGGCCGAGATATTTCGTTTCTTGAACCATAAATTCACATTTTTCGGGTTTGAGATGGACATGATTCTCATCAAGTACCTTTAAAACTTTTTGAATATGGCCCTTGTGCTCTGCAAGGGATTCGGAATAGATGAGAATATCGTCTAAATAGGCCGTTACAAATTGATCGAGATAGGGGCGCAGGATGTCATTGATCCAATGTTGAAATGTAGCCGGAGCATTCGCTAATCCAAAAGGCATTACCGTATATTCAAAGTGTTCATATCGAGTCCGGAATGCCGTTTTCCATTCATCTCCTTCCGCTATCCTGATTTGATTATATCCCCAACGTAAATCCAATTTAGTATAATATTTTGCTTTCGACAATTTGGTCAAGGTTTCCTTCAATAACGGTAATGGGTATCGGTTCTTAATCGTAATTGCATTGAGGCCCCGATAGTCGACACATAAACGAAGAGTTCCATTAGCTTTCTTGACCAATAGTATAGGTGCCCCCGCTGGTGATTCACCATGGCGGATAGTTCCCTTAGGTAGGTTCTCTTGAAGGTAGTCCCAAAGTGCCTTCAACTCTGTTTTGGATAAAGCATATATTGGTCCCCATGGTGGTTGTTTGCCTTCTTCTAATACTATCTTTATATCATGGAACGGTCGATGTGGCGGAAGCGCTGAAGCATCATATTCTTCAAACATATGGATATAGCGGTGGAACTCCTTCGGTATTAGTTGTTGAATATCGATAGTAGGTTTTCCGGTCGCTGAGACGGTAACGGTATGAGTTTCAGGTAGGGGAATTGATATACCATGAACCGTAATTGCAGTTCCACTAAGGGAGCAATGTTGACAGCAGCTTTGAGAGTCGAAGATAAGCAAATTTTCCTTTGGTCGAATCGTAACATCATGTCATCGCATCCAAGGTATCCCCATCACAATTGGATAGTGTCCCGACTTTGTCACAAAACATGATGCAGTCTCTCGATGGCCATGAATGTCTAGCGAGACATCAACAATATGAGTAATCCTTCCTGACTTGATAGGTCTGCCGTCTATAACGTCTACATGGCATGGTATTTTGAGTGGGGTCATGGTGAGATTGTTGTGGCGTGCAAAAGATTCATCGATGAAAGCATATCCTGAGGCTCCGGTATCAATAAGGGCGTAGGTGGGTACGAAAGTATTTTTATTCTGTGAAATTGAACAGGTTACTACAAATTGGTTCCCATCCATTTCCTCCTCTGATACTGAAAAACCAGAAATATGCATTTCAGAAAAATCCTTAAATGGTCCCTGGGCTAAGCCACTTAGTGCAGGGACAAATCTTTTGCCGACTCGTTATCACTTCCATCATTTTCCTCTATCCTCAATGCTGCTCCTTTCATCACCGGTCTCCTTGGTTGATTTCCAGTTGCCCTTGCCTGGGGGCTATCTCTAACCATGTGTCCAACTCCTCCGCAATAGAAACATCGGTCCTCATCTAAGCGGGCATTTCTTTCAGTAGGGATGGGGCGACGACGTCCCCCGGACAAATCCATCGGTACATCACCTCATGGGCGGAACGAGGGATAGTTCTCAGGAGTAGGTACATTGATGGCTGGGGCGGCAGCTCGAGGAGCAGGGGCAGGATTCCCCGGTGGAGGACGAGGGGTCGAAGCAGCAGTAGCATTCCAAGGCTTTTTACTTCCTTGCTTAGCTTCTGCCGCTCGTCGGCGATTATCTAACCGTTGCAAGAGTGTCGCACATGCATCTACCGTCGCAGGAGTTTCATGGTGTATCATTGATTCATCGAGTTCCGCATTAATGCCTTCCATCAAAGCCTCAATTCTAGAGACTTCATCCATCCCTGACTCGGCAGCATACCGTTGGAATTCGGCGAAGTAATCAGCAAAGGTTCGGTTTCGTTGACGGATGTTCCTAAGATTCCTCATAGCCGTGCGCATTCGATCAGGGTCCCCAAAGCAGTATCCAAGATTTCATAAAACCGTAACATGGAAGGCAAAGCGATGCCTTCTTCTCCAACATATTGTAAAAACTGATTGGCGGCGACACCCTCCAATCGGGTGAATGCATAGGATAACTTAGACTGTAGTGTGGGAAAGCGGTCGGCTTTTCCCAATAGCTTGATCCTCATCTGTTGCTTGAATAGGTGTAGTCTTCCTCGATCGCGATCTCCCCTAAACACTTCAGGGTCTGGGAGTTTTTCCGACCGTTGGGTAACCACTGGAAAAGGTGGAACTGGAGGTACCGGTGGGGCATTATCCTCTCCGATTGGTTCTTCATCAGGGGCAACCACTTCAACAGCAACTCGGTGGCCCCTAACAGGGGCTA